AGTACACGGGGAGCACAGTGTATCACACGCACCTGTGTTTTGTCTGCGTGTCGTGTGGTGCCACCCCCTTGTCTGTATGTCTGTATGCCATGTGGTGCCGCCCTACGTCACCCGGACACGCACATATGCCTGTGTGTTGTGTAGTGCCTCCCTACACCTGCACAGTGCACACGTTTGTATATTGTGTCTCGTCACCCTACACCCGCACAGTGTGTATATCTTAATGCCGTGTCCCACAGGCACCGAACTGGAGCTGGCTGGGATGGAGGAGAGCGTTCGCAAGGAGCCACTGGCCCTGAGCGACCCCGTGTCGCAGGCAGCAGAGAGGCTCCGGCAGGCCATCACGTTGTCAGTGGTCAGTGGATGGGTCGAGGACAGGGAGGAGGAGACTATCAAATGGGTCAGCAATTGTAACTGGGGAGGTCGGGGTCAGGGGTGGGTGGGTCGGTGGGTCATACACTATCCGTGGACGGAACAGGGGCCCTGTTCGGTCGCTGTTTTTATATCAGCGTGCTGTCGGTTTTCCCCATATAAGGAAGTTATTGCTGGCGTTTCTTGGCCTCTCATTGGTCTAACGAATAGGCCACTTGAATTCGACCAATGAGGAGCCAAGAAGTAGCAGCATGCTCGCAGCCTGCTGATAAATAAATGGGGGGAGAACAGAGCTCTGGGCTGGCAAAAGGCGGGTCAGGAGCACTGTCTGGTCAGAAGAACTAGACAATACCTTGCCTGAGGGACTAGTTATAGGATGTGTGCTATCTCGCTATCTCGTTATCTCGTTTTCTCTGTTTTTGTGAGCGTAGTGTATCGGTGGGTAAATGAGCCCCTTCTTCAGCTATCAATGTCTGAAGGTAGATATGGATACATGTAGCGTGTACCATAGCTGCTCGAAATACCGTCGTCAGGCAGGAACCGTTAAGTGCATTTTGAAAAATTCATTTAGGCACTGGTACTACTGAAGTCATAACTAGTGAATTCGTGACAGTTTACGAGCGTCGATCAGCTGGTCAACCGATGTCTCTCACTTTTCTTGCTCAGTAAAGTGCGCTCTGTAGTCGTTCTACATAATAGCGACATGCTGATTTGTTGTTCTTTTAACCGCAGTGACAATGACGGTTCTTTGGCACGTTTCAGAAGAGCGCCAGCACGCCTTCAGAGACGGCCCTAACAGAGGAGACGCGTCACTTCCTCAGCACCTGGCTTGCCGGCAACAACAACAACAGTAGCAGCAGCAGCAATGGCAAGGTGAGTCCCTTGCCGAGACAGTCAGTGAGGCCGACAGCCGGGGATCGCACACAACACACAACACACAACACACAACACCGAGACTTCCTGGGACGGTCATTGGTAGTCCCAGTTTGGTGGCGAATAGGGTACAGATACGATGCATGTTTGCAAACGTAGATGAGGCGTTATGGTAGTTCGACGAGCTCCTTCCTGGCGGGACAGTACTGTCTGCCTGTGGCGAGGATGCTGCCGGCTTGTTGGATCGTTCATTGGCTTTATACCATGAACCATAGTGTCAGCGTTACTGGAAATTTGATGGAGCAATATTAGATTGTCTTGGGTTTCTACGTGCGGGTGGTTATAGGTAGTAGGTACTGCTGAACTAACGTTGCGAGTCGGATTATAATGGAACTGAGATGAACCATGATGCAGGTACTTTATACTAGATGAGTCCCCTCCACTTGGACTAGTGTCAGTTGGTCTAGTATCGTTTGGGCTAGTTCATTTGGTCTAGTGCTTTATTTGGTCTAGTGCCACTTGAGCTAGCTTCATTTGAGCTAGTGTCATATTTGGTCTAGTTCATTTGTGCTAGTTCCCGAAATTTATTTGAAATATATAGTTCCCTGAGATGCTCGGCCATGTTTACCATGAAAAAGTTCGGTCTCGTTGTCGTATATATTTCGTTCGTTCGATTATGTATAACATCTTGATAACCCGCCCAAATCTTGATGTTTCGGATTTAAACGTACAGTGTGATAGCATATCCCACGCCACGAAGGAATTCCGCCCGCTCTATGGTGCCTTCCGCTAGTCTGGTTATAAGTGTTGTCAGGCGTTTATTCATATTTTTAACAGTTTTCTTGGATTTTTGAACGTCATGAAAGCTGCCTCGTTAAGTTCTGTAAAAAAAATAAAATAACCGCAAAATCTTTTCCTCGTGAGTCTAATTATTGTGCCAAGCATGATAATACACCTCCATCATGGAAATGAGTCTGCTGAAAGCTAGACGAAATTACGGCACTAGACCAAAGGCACTAGCTCAAATGAATGGCACTTTGGCACTAGCTCAAACGAAACTAGCCAAACTGGCGCTAGACCAGCTGAAGCACTAGACCAATTGCACTAGCTCAAAAGGCACTAGACCAAATGATGCTAGACGAAGAGAGTGGCACCCATACTAGATGCTTTGGCATCGCATGGACTTGCCAGTCTCCATATGGCACCGCCTTAGCAGTACTCCAGCAGCTGCCTGGCCATCCCCCAGCCCTGTTCCGGCGCTCCAACCATCCCCGATCTGTGTCCGTTTTCCCGATCAGTGGGGACGGGGCACGGGCGATGACACGCCGGCCGCTGGCGGCTCGCTGGTGTCGGTTAGCGCTGTCTGTTCCGTCCCTCGACCGTGCGCGACTGTCGGCACTGGCGTGTTTCCGCAGAAGGAAAACAAACAGTCTGTCATCGACACCCGCCGTCCACCGCTGGGCCCTCCCCGGCTCATGGCTGACTTGAGTCAGGGCTACTTAGTTGGAAGACTCGAGTCATTTTGTGAGTATATGCCAGTTAAGCATGGCCATGGTATTGGTATGTCTTATCTACATTCCTCTTCAGCCTCCTAACTTCTTCTCTTTCGTTCATCGATGTGTGAACTGTCGACCTTTTCCGAAGACTCCTAGAATAGTCGCCAGGTGGCTCACGTCCTGTAGTGCGGAGGCGGTCTGTGTACGGTGGCGCCATCTTCGCCAGCCGATCGGAACGCCGTTGCCATGACTGCACCGACGTGAGCCAGCTTTGTCGATGGATAGTGGGCGTGCTCAGCGCAGCGAACTCTCAGCCAATGTAGTCGTTTATTGTGGTCTTTCAGGAGGTGTCGGAAGATTCATGTGGTGTGAGTCTGTTTTCTTGTAGACGGGCTTTACTCAGTGAACTGCACCCGTGTCGATTGGATATGTAAATTGGGACAAAATTGGCGTTAAAGAGGGCACGTAAAGACACTTTCCTCGTGGAAATACGACCAACACGAAAAACCGAAACACCTTCGGCAATTTTTTTGTGCTTTGCGCGGAAGTGGAAAGAAATTCCGAACTGATCGATAACAAAGTGCATACTAATTCGATGCGCCATTGGTAAGCTTATTATGGGAAACCTACAACGGTACTCTTGCAGTTAACATTGCAGAAATATATCAGAAATAATCCTGAAATACCCACTGATATTAGCCTCGAACTCGGGTGACTTGGTTATCTACCAGTTCAAAAATGGCTCAGAGTGGATCAAAGAAAACCCAGAACCAAGTGTTGGACCAGCTGGCGAAGGCGACCCATTTCAACCGGAACGAAATCGAGGCTCTGGTGCTCATGTTCAGGAAGACGCTGAGGCCGAAGACGGACAAGCTGGACCGCAGCAAGTTCCGTGACGTGCTCCACAACACCTTCGACATGACCGACGACATGCTGATGGATCGAGTGTTTCGCGTCTTCGACAAAGACAACGACGGCCTCATCAACATGGAGGAATGGGTGACCGGTCTGTCTGTCTTTCTGCGCGGCACGCTTCAGGAGCGCATCAACTACTGCTTCGCAGTGTACGACTTCAACGGCGACCAGTCTCTGGCGCGGGACGAGGTCTACCACCTCCTGAAGAACAGCGTCATGAAGAACCCCCAGGAGGAAGATCCTGAGGAGGGCGTGCGCGACCTCATTGACCTCGTCATGAAGAAGCTGGATGTGAACCACGACGGATTTGTGTCCTTTGATGACTACGAGGCTACAGTGAAGATGGAGCCCCTCTTGCTGGAGGTGTTTGGACCCTGCCTGCCGCAGCAGGAATCGCTAGAAACGTTCCTCACCACCTTTGTCGAGCCTAAGCGAACGCCCGGCTATGAAGGATAAATTCTTCTTTTTTTTTAGCTTATTTAACAAGACTCCTTCAAGTCGTGATGTATGTCAGCTGTATTGCGGTGCTATTCAATGCAATGAAAACGACGCATATTCGAATCCAGCTTAACTAGGATTGCTAGATGTTCCGTTCCGACTACCGTCACGTTTGTCGACGTCAATCCTAGTAAGTATGTTAACATTCCCCGCTGGCTGTGTAGTTCAGAATTTGACAAGCAGCTCATCTCGTTTTACTGTTATCCAAATCACTGCAGCTGCTCAAGTAATACAGCTGATGACCGACGTGGCGGTGTCTTGCTTCATTCACTGCTAGATTAGATGATTGAGATTTATTTTTGCCGACGATGCGTGCCCGCTGGATCTGCTCGGGCCAGCGCTGGCGGTGGGGGGATGTCTGCCCTGCTGACGCTGACGGCGAGTCTGAGTCATTCGAATTGCCTTGATCAGCCACTGGGTGAGACCGCGAGACTACGGTGGATGAGCGGATTTAATCAAACGTTAACAATTTCAAAATACCTTAGTATTTGTATCATCGCTAGATGGATGAGATCTAAATACACATACTGCTTCGGATGTTTTTCTTCTCGTCGTTTTCCAGCGCCATGAACAATCAACACATTGGGTACATTACGGATGTTGACCTTCGTTTACGTCATCTGTGTCTTCACGTGGTGCTGCCACCTTGGCACTGAACCGACCCCAGTCCACTCTCGTTGACACGATTAATAGTGCTGACATCCCGGCACGCTGCAGCGCTCTGCGGGTCGGAGTTAGGGGCTCGGCCAGACGGCTCCACCCCCAGCTGTGCAGAGGGCAGGGGGCGTGGTGGTAGAGTTAGACTGGGAGGTTTAGGGTGACGGGGAGGGGCGGAGCGCCGATGGAGTTGTCGTGTTTTGCCGGGGGCGGTCCGTTTCCGGCGTCTCTCGGGCACGTGTCGCTCCGGTTGGCCTCCACCGACCGTTGTTGCTGCGAGCTGCGGCGGCCGACGGGCGGGGGCGGCGCAGGCGCGCTCGGCGCCGTCGGCCGGCCGCCGCCGCCGCCGCCGGCAGCCAGTGCCACTGCCATGCCCGGCCGCGATCCGTTCTCCGTGCCGGCCGGAGCGCGCTCCTGGCTCAGCGATGTGCTCGAGAGCTCGCCGGCGCCGGCGCCCGTGCCGGCGCCGGCCGGTGTCGTGTCCAGACTTGTGCACTCGTTCGAGCGAGGTGAGTTCGCGCCGGAAGAGTCACCGCCGCCGGCGCGACGCGAGGCGCCCGCTCAGGACGTCCACGCGGACTACAGGAGCATGATCGCCGCGCTGGATCGCTATATCGAGGCGCGTGACCAGCGCCGCGCCGCCGCCGCTGCCGCCGAGCCGGCTGGCCGCACACCGTCGCCGCTTCCCTCTGCCGGCTCCACGCCTCCCGAGGTACGCCGGATCACGGGGAAGCCTCCTCGGCCGCGTCGCGCCGCGTCTCCCGCTCGACCTCAGCCGGCGCCACACCAGCCCCCTCCGTCAGTGAGCGTGACTCCTCCGGTACCTCGTGTCGGCGTGTCACCACCGGCGCTCTACCCAACCGCGTACCCGGCAGCCTACCTGGCCACGCCGCAGTACGCCCAATACGCCCAGTACGCGGCGCATCCAACACACCCTTCATATGCGCACCTGGCTCCGATACCGTCTGTCGCTTCTGTGGCCTACGGGGGACCGTGTGCGCCTCTCTCCCAACTGGCGCCGCTGGGGTACGAGCCCGGCTGGGCGGACCAGCCGACCAGGAAGAGATCTTCCAGCTTCGACTCAGCGCTGGAGGAGATCAGAGCCCGCTACGGCAGTGGGGAGAGCCTCTGCTGGCCGGCGGCGCCACACTGCGCCGGAGGATGGGGTGGATCCTGTGGAAACATCGCAGGATGTAAGGTCAGTGGAAGGTCAAGGGCTGTGGGTCGGTGACAGGTCAAGGCCACGGGCGCTGACGGGTAGGAATACTATCCTTTGACTGGAAACTGGTTATTTAGTCGTATATTTTCGCTCGCTTTTGTAACCCTGAAATGTCTCTGGCATTCCATTATTAGTATGGGTTTAAGAGCCTTGAGCGCCTATTGGCAGCAACGGGAACAATGCCATTCTTCGACTAGATTGAAACTATTTACCTTCTTGTGTATTTTGGATCTCTTTTGAGACTGAACATCCATCTTTTTCGCACGGGTTAACAGCGCTATCTTATTGGTGTGGCCCCTTCTGTACGCTCATTCGCTCAAGTGAGCCGTCTCGCCTGTCGGTACTGGCGTTCGGTTGCCAGCGACAGTCGAACTCGTGCCACTGCCAACAATTTGCGCAGTATATTAGGGTTGCTGCCCGATGGAGACGTCTATACGTGGCAAGCTGCTTAGAGCTGCAGCTCGGATTGTGTGATTGCACAGGCTGTGCAGCTCAAAGTTTTGCGGTTTTAGGCGATTCAAACCATAGTGTCATCAAAGGGTTGCGTGGGAGTTTTTGAAGTATTCACAGGTCTCTGATGTGTGACTGACTTGTCGCCTTGCTTCAAACTGTGTGTGCAGCACACACGCCTCCAGCTGTGTGTGCTTTGACGAACTCTCGTAATTGAATTAGTGTGCTCGATAACTGCAATAACTCGCGGCATCATCAGCTGGCTCGCTGCACGAACTCGTCTGATTCTCCATGCGACCACTGGCTGTAGGGTGTTTGTTGTAAGATCCGATGCATAAGGCGATATAGGAGACACATTAGGCCGCTCCAGCGATCGGAACACCTCCGCTGTATCGGCTGTCAGGTCCGGGATGGGTTGAGGCGCAGCCGATGGATCATGTGCAGCGTGCAGCCCGACGCTCCCGCCAGTGTCCGGTAAACCGGGGAAGGGGAGTCGGGACTGAGATCCGGATGTGGTCCCACTTCGACCAGCTGATGGGAAACCCGAGGCTGGACGGTGGGATGGTACGGCTTTTGTGATTTACGGTTAGTGCCCTAGCATTGTTTGTGGAAGGTAATAGCAGATCTAGAAGTCGATAACTCAAATTAAATTTTGAATAATAAACTCGCCCCTGTCTCTCTCTCTCTCTCTCTCTCTCTCTCTCTCTCTCTCTCTCTCTCTCTCTCTCTCTCTCTCTCTCTCTCTCTCTCTCTCTCTCTCTCTCTCTCTCTCTCTCTCTCTCTCTCTCTCTCTCTCTCTCTCTCCCCCTCTCCCCCTCTCCCCTCTCCCCTCTCCCCTCTCCCCTCTCCCCTCTCCCCTCTCCCCTCTCCCCTCTCCCCCTTTCCCCCTCTCCCCTCTCTATCTCTCCTTCCCTCCCTCCCTCCCTCCCTCCCTCCCTCCCTCCCTCCCTCCCTCCCTCTGTCGCCTTCCCCGCCCGCCCCCCGCGTCTGTCCGAGTTTCGTGCAGACTGATCACACTGTTGCTCTGACGTTATCTAGGCTTGAAGGACGAGTCACTTGATGACCTGGCCAGTTGCGGCTAACGAGTAACGAGGCCTGTTGGTCTTGTTAGCTCGACCGTTTTACTGGGTGGTCTTTGCTGTTTGATGCATCCAGTCCCAGTGGTTCAGCTCGGGATAGCATGCAGACATTTCGATTGGCCGTGAGTTTTTGGAAGAAGCATGATCACATTCTTCATTAAAAGATAGCCACGTCCCACTTAGGGAATGAGGTGTATAATCGTCTATGATGCTCAAATAATCATACGGCTATCATTTGTCCAGTTTCTAACGGCATAGCTGAAATATGTCTTTGTTTATTTTAGTGACGAGAAAAAAAAAACTGTCGCTGACATAGAGTTATGTTCTAGTAAATATTCGTGAATGTGAGTCAATTAAAGTGTCTTTGGCAGGATGACACGGCACCTGGTGTGTCCGTCAACATGTCACTGCTGACAAATGACACACATATGCGCCGCTGGCCCCATGGTTTTATCTGTGTTTGTCTTTATTTAACTCGCACATATTTTACACTAGCCAAGAGTAACAAATGAATAGATGCAACACGGCACATGGTCTCGCAGATAGATGAAATCATCGTGCTGGTCAAACGATTCAGCTGTCTACTGGTTGTGTTTCCATCTGGGTGGTGGCATCCGTTTCGTTCGTTTTATCTCTGTTGATCAGATGTTTGAACGATTAGTCATTGCCCTTTATATTTTCTTAGGGCGTGTTGACTGAGTGCTAAGGCGAGTTGATCCTTCAGACTCCCGTTGAGAATCAAGAGTCCGTCATTGTCGTGATAGTCTGTCGGAGTGTTATCATCTTCTGGCTCTCAGCCCGGCCTGGCGACCCTAGTGTTGGTAAGTCTGGTCTGGTCTAGTAAGACTAACCTTAACGTTTGTAAATAATCAGACATGATTGAGTTTTATTCACGATCGATGGCAACACAAGTCAAATTCCTAAAACCAGACGTTTCGGCCACAGGGTGCCTTCGTCAGTGGACACTACAGATTAAATTAAAAACACATAGTATCAAAAACAATCGGTATAAATCGTTCGAAGTCGACACATCGGGCACATCGCATTTCGAAACATGTGCCCGATGTGTCGACTTCGAACGATTTATACCGATTGTTTTTGATACTATGTGTTTTTAATTTAATCACTAGTGTCCACTGACGAAGGCACCCTGTGGCCGAAACGTCTGGTTTTAGGAATTTGACTTGTGTTGCCATCGATCGTGAATAAAACTCAACTAACCTTAACCTATGAGGACATGAGTCGACAGATCAATGTATTTGGGTGTTCTGGTCTACATACATACACTGGTAAAGTGGCATCAAGAGGACCTATATACTATATAGTGTATTTTGGCTCCGTCTGATCTGCTTTTTCGGTGTATCAGTGTGCAGTAGGGTGATATGCTACCCGGTCCTACCCCTACCAATCCCGTATAATAGTCCACCAGTCTATCGGTCTGATGGACTCTGTTGGGAGTCTGGTGGGAGTCTGTTGGAAGTCTGCCTGTAGTCTGGTAGGAGTCTGATAGCAGTCTGATAGTAGTCTGATGGAAGTCTGGTCCGGTGAGGTCAGCTGGTCGGGTCAGGCCGGGCCGGCCGGGGCAGACAGCTCCGCTGGAAACGGTCCAGCCTCCCCTGCGACCCAGCTGGCACGGCTCCTGTTTTCTTTACCGTCCCACCGACCCGCGCCTCCGAACCCCAACCGGCCGGGCGGCAGCCGCCTCAACACGGGATCCTATCGCATTCCGGTGGGCTGGTGCTGGGGGAGGGGGGCTGTTCCGGTGTCGGTACTGGTTCCATGTCTGTTCTTGAAGCTTTGGGCAGTGGACAATGACTGGAAGCTGGCTTGGTGTGTGGGTGACTGATAAGCAAGTGGCAGTGCAGGCTGCTGCTAAGAACCTGAAAAAGCAAAACGAATATCATAATTTTTAAGCACTAAAACACATTGGAATCTGCAGCCGTCAACGTAGGTGGTCTTGGCCCACCCTGAATGTTTTAAAGCGTGTGTCAATTCACGTGCCAGCTATCATGATGCAAACATGACGGCTGGCAGGCTGCAGACTCAAGACATATCTTTTTCCTTGAGGTATCGCATCGGATTGTTTGATTAAAACCTGATCCGGTGTCCTCTGGCTACGAATTGGCTCTTGTGCGTGGTCTATGACGCATGTAGAGCCCCATAGGCGGTATCGGCCGCTTCATGTCGGTCGGGCCAGGGCATTCGGCCAGCTCTCCGTGCAGTTCTGCCTCTGGTGACTATGGCTGAACTAGAGCTTCTGTGTTCCACCGTTAGGGGGCCGTCGAGTGATCATTCTCCGTGGCCGCCTACTGTCGCTCGCATGTAATGTATCGTTGGCAGCCGGGTGTATTTTTGCCACCGCGACCCTTGTGTTCCCAGAGAACCTCTGTTTTCTGGCTAGCTGAATGATAGTATTTGTTCTAGACTAGTTAGCTGAACATCGACATGACGATATGTGTGATGACAAAAATATTAGCGTGACCTTTGTAGTCGGCGCGCCCTAAAGCCCTAATGAACAAACAAGCGATATAAACTTACCACCTATACTAGTGGCCACTTTTATCGCCAACTTATCACTTTTTTCTTGGCCGTAGTCAAAAGTTCAACCTTCTTCATGTCGAGTATAGTCGCCTGTTGTTTTGTGTTGCATGTCATATTGGGTGCGTAAGTTTAACAAATATTGACCTTCCTATTAGGATCAAGTTATCGGTTGCGTGCCGTAATGAATGTTTGGGCTACATTTTGCATCGTCAGTTGCGTAGCATTTTGCTTCATTTTGCATCATAAGCGCTACTCGACTTGTGAATTAGCGGCGAGTGCCTGAGGGCACGCAGCGGCGCTACACCGAGCACAGCTAAACCCGAACGTATTGCCGCTAGATGGCACCAGCGGACATTGCCTGTATCTATGCTGTGCCGCAAAGCGTGCGCGGACACCCGGCACGGGTTGGATGTCTCAATTGATGATACGTTCAAATGCTGATGGAACGCCTAATTAGGGCGACCAAATGGAAAAGGCCAAGCCGTTAACGAATGAAATCAACCATGTAATGCTGTCGCATCTGTATTAGGCATATTTTATTTAGTAAATTTTACTCTGAAGATACCTACGTGCAATTGTACCTACTGCCTCCATCTTAATAATGCAGGCCATGGTTTCATTGTTATTCTCTTTGATCGCCATTTTGTTTTGTTATTCGTTTTTTGTTTTGATTATTTATGTGTCCCGTGGCGACTGTCGAAGGTCTGCATTTTCACCTCATTTGGCATGGCAGCGTATGTACAACATTCTTGGCGGGACGCACTGGTAAATTGAATATTCTCCGACAACAGTCACATTTATTTACGTCCCTCATGGTTCTAAGGTCTACTTTTGACACACTGTATTCGACACATACATACAATAGTTAGACGGATCGTGCTCTAGTAGTTATTGAGTTCTAATGCAGAC